ATTATTATTTAATGAAGCCAATTCAGAAGTAAAAGAAAATGAATGAAAGCCACTTGAAATAATTCCCTTAAGTTATTTAAAGTCAAATTGTTTTAATAGAACAAGTAAATATGACACTCTTGTAAAAGCAAAGTAAATCCTTTTTTTATCTTTCACTAAGTCATTGTATTACCTCTAATGACAAGCCAAAATCTCTTCAACTATATATCCTGGCAAAGTCTCAGAAACTTACTTCGCCCAGAAGCAAACTCCAAGTACTCTCAATTCACTCTCTAGTTGTCGCTTAATTAACTTACAATTGCAGCTCATGGAGCTCAAAGGAAGTACATGAGAATGGAATAGAGAGGAGCTGGAGAAGTCGGAACAAATGGTGGGGACAAACCTCAGCTAAAACCATATAAATGTCGTGAGGCAACTTTCAGCAATTAATTATCCGCAAAGTTTTCAATTACAGGCCAATTACGCCCGGCCATCAAGCAATTGCGACCGAACATACACATTAGTAACAGTGGGAACACTAATAGCTAAATAGTTTATTCTAAGCCGGAAACGGAAATGGCAAGTGTACGGGTTTTTCTTAATATTTCTTTGAGTATATTTTCAGAAAACTAAATCTGTTTATTAACAAATAGAATTAGATAGTCCTATTCCTGCTTCAGTTACCGATTACATTATTTCCTATTTAAATTTACTTCATGGCCGTATATATATATATTTCGACTTGAAAGAGTTCCTATAAATTGCTTTAAGTTCATTTGTTCTCATCCTCATCAATATCGGTTTAACTTCCGCAGGATTTACTGTACGTGCCACTAACACGTACAGCACCACTAAATGACATTTTATTGAGCTTCCCCGACCGAGGAGAAGCCGGCTCCAGTTCCGTTCCAGCAGCTGGACTACACCTGGTTCTTCACCTGCCTCCATACCACACCACAACATCCACCCCCTTTCGGCCATCAGTTTACCTTTCTGATGGAGTTGTCAACTGTCAGGCGGAACGAATCGTTGTGCCGATGACACGTTTTGCCAACGCATCATGCAACCGTGATGATGCCAGAAATGAATGCGTCCTGTCATAACGGAAATCGAACAAGGACCCCAAAACCCACCCTTTCCTCTTGAAAATCCCGCCCCTTTGGGGCATAGAAAGCTTCGCAAATGGCTGACAAATATGGCGCCGCGGCAACAATTGAAACTGTTTTTGTTCAAATTTGCAGACAAACATGCAGGAAAGTGGAAATAGAGAGGAGGAAACACAAGGGGACGACAAGTGCGATAGGATATTGGTTTTTGGGCAGAAGCGGTTTATTGACATTTTCAATGCGCTCACAGCACTTAATTAAGGTGTAATTTTCAATATTGAACGCTCGGTTCCAATGGGGGTTTCCCCAAATTCTCAAATTTGGAAACGGAGAAGCAAGCAATAAAGGAAATACGGAACAGGTATTGGGAGACTAGGCCTTTTATGGATATGTTTATACAAAAGTGTTTCATTCAATATACCAATCTGCCAAATAAAAGGGAAACATTAATAAAAGCTGATACATAATGGAGAAAATCTACTCCTTCAAAAATAATGCCAAGTCACAAGCCAGATAACTAGAGTATCTACCCATTTCAATAGTCTAGAGTCTAGACTTTTCCTCAATATTCAAAGCCACTCAACCTATCAATGGGAGGACCGACCTCTCCTCTATTTCCGCCCCATAATATTCCCTTCATAATTTTCCACTTGTCATTTCCCATACCACAAAATCGGTTAGCGCACACAGCTGGAGTAATGACTGTTGATTGTCAGGATCCGGTGAACCAGACAGAGAAAAATTCCATACAGAACATGGCCTCTAGGAAATTGCATGCTTATCCATACAAAATAATACATAATGACCCAGAAAAAATAGAAAGAAAAATGTCGACAAATTGAATTCACTTATGTCACACACGCACACTTGCCGCCGTGGTGACTCAGGTCATGAAGTCAATGGCGTGCTAAATAATTCAACCGAATTTGACAAATGCTTGACGGGGTTAAATTATATCCAGAACAATTAAGTGGAGAACTAACTATCTGCTATCTAAATGGCAGACATTCTTGGCTATACCCTGGGGGGTATAGTAAAAAACTATTTCCAGAGCTTTGCATTATTTATGTATGAAAACCAAGCAGGCAGTCAGGCCAAAGGCAGGTTCTCTGTGGCTTGTCCTAAAATAGGACATTGCACTGTCAAAAAACGAAAGTAGAGAAAAGAAAATTAAAGTTGTTAACAATATCTTTTTTCTAGAAAGTTAATTTCACCAATTAGGAGTTATTAGAATTAATAATTAATTTACAGTCTTTAAAGTTCTTTTTCCAGTATCCTTTAAAGAGCAATGCTTGATGCGCAACCGCATTGAGGATATCCGAAAAGGAGTGCAGACATATCCTTTGAGTGCTCCATTTGGCACTGGGCTATAAACCCTGACTCTTGGCTCAGCACATTTTGATTTAACTTAAAATAAAATCAGCTATTTGCCATCTCCCACCAACCTTCCCTCTGACTGTCACTTAGTGCATGTCCTTGTCGACTAAGTGACCGTTTCCCACACACGCCAGTTTATATTATCCGAGCGCATTTATCTCGCATTGGCAATTGGATTTGTAATGTGACTAAAGCCAGACAAAACGACAGGATAACAAAGCAATGGCAATGGTCATTGAAAAGGACAATTGTGTGTGCGAGACGTGCATTTCCAAGCTGACGAACTGCTGACCCCAAAGATGGAGTGTATGGGGTACAGTTGTGTTTTTTTTACAAGGAGCGAGGTCAATACGATGAAACGTTATCAAAAAGAAAAGGTTTCAAGCATCAATAGTTTGACCTTCTCTATGGTTTGGAAGCTTAAAAACAGTGAAATGAAATATAAATAATTTCCATAAATCTTATTTTAAATAAAATGAATTTAACTTGACCAGCACATACTCTAATAAATTGTTTTATTTATGTGATACTCTGCCTTATCTATTCCTATTTTTAAATAGAAATAAATTCAACTTTAGCTTGCCTGCAATAAATTATTTTATTCATAGAATTTTATAACTTCAATACTCTTATCTCCTCAAAATAGTTTTCTTTCCACCTTGATAAAAGATTTATGGCACGGCTTTAACCGCAAACACGCACAAGCTCTAAAGGTGTGGGTATAGTATAGTATATACATCAATGCCTCGGAACCGAACGAGTACACATCATTACCATTACCGTACCGGTGCGAAATCCAAAAACCCAGGATTTAAATGCATCGATGGTGAAGGTGATGCCGACACTTTCGTTTCCACAGTTGGGGCAAGGACAATAGAAGCACACGCACATAAGCTACGGGTGTTGTCAATTTAGGTGTTTTCTAGACAAAGCTAAATAAAAGCCACCCAGTCTTCTTGTATTTCTACTTTCAACCCTGTTGAAGATTTCGTTTTGTTAAAAAAATAATAGTTTCAAATCAAAATCATATGTAAAATACTTTATTTTCGATTAAAGTAATATCCTATCTTCTACTCTGTTTTTTACCATATAAAATTTAAAGAATTTTATATTTTCTAAATGTGTTTTTCCATAGATAGCTATTTTATAGTTTAACAACACTGAAGGGAAACCGTTGAGCACTCAGCTATATTGTCCGACTGACTGACGGACGAAGGACGAGCTGGGAGACACTGACACACCGACACCTCCGAACCGCACCCAAAGTGCTTGGCCTGGCAAGTGCATAGATAACAAACGAGTGCAAGGATAACGAGGCTACGCGGCAAGGACTACGTCTGCAAACTACAGCGGAAGTAACGCGAAAAATGGCGCAACAGTAAAAGCAAAAGGGGAGACAGTGAAATATTGAAATACAATTGGTTTAGGATACACACACACACTTACCTAAGACACACCTAACACACACCTTGCTCACCTTACACTCCCTACAGCTCCCTGGGGGCCCACAGGATGGCACTTAAAGATATCGCTGAAGGATATGGGGATAAGTGGGTTTGAGTTTGCTCGAGTTTGGCTTTAAGTTGTGCCAGTTTATTTAAATGGAAAGCATCATATATTGAATGAGAGATTAGTTCAATCCTGTATTCATAAGCTTTGAAAATTTAAAAGGCTTAGTCAAAATTTAGGCTCTACACTGAAGGAAAATACCTCATAAATTGATTACAAATCAACTACTATTATTATTGAAGTCTGAAGGTTTTTATTTTCAATGATTGTCAAGCATTTATAAGTTTATTTGATGCCTTTTTTTGGTTGACATCCCTATCTCTATAGATTTTTTCGCAGTGGAAGTTCAAGAGCACGGATGGGCATACATAGTCAGCAGGTAACTTGGAGTACTTTGCTCGCGACCTCGTCTTCGTCTAAGGCAGTTAAGTTGCGCGTCAGTGTCAGCGGCAGAATTGAAATCCTTTTCCTCTGCAGGCGCTCAGAAAGCCCTTCCACAGTTTACCCACCGACCGGCCGCGTCCTGCGTCAATCACCCAGCGCTTTCCCCCATTGAGTGGGACACGTTTTCATGGAAGTTTTCCAGCTGCGCCGAAAAGTTGGCCACAAACAAGGCGACACATGACACGTACTCGACTTGACTCGACTCGTTGCCAAAGACCCACCCTGGCCCTCGAATGCTGGGATTATTTTTAGTTTTTGCCAGTGTTTTAAAGTTTTAAAGCTCTTTTGTGGCACATTTGCATATTAAGTGGCATGCGTTGGCAGTTTCAGGTAGCTGCTGCTGTTGTTAGTTTCGCCTAGGCTTAAGCCTTAGCCAAGCCCAAAACAGGGTAACCGCCTTCGGGGCCAAGTTGAGAATTTCCAAAAATCACTGCTGTCAGTGCGGGATTTCCTCTTCGCCTTCCCTGCGAGCGGTTTCTGACTTCGGGGTTTCCGTACATCCTGTACCGACATCCTCAGTTAAGCCCAACGAGCTGATAAGTCAAATTAGCATAGATTGATGAAAACATTTTGTCGCTTGTCAAGGATTTGTTTGGCATTTACACATTTACAATACATTGCGAGGAACATGAACACAACTATAGTCGGGGGATACTTACAATACACTGTTTTTACCCCCAAATGACACGGCGATAAAGTGAGAACATGACACTAAAAAAAATAGTTAACGTTTCGAAAGGCACACAAAAAATCAACAGAAATCTTTTGGGAACTTCTGAGATATTAAAGCTGTGACTTATGAAATATATGAAGGAATTTTTGTAATAATTATACAATGAAAACATAATCATCAGCATATATTATGACAGTTTCCGCTAGCTAAGTATGAAATAAGAACGAAATAAATAAGATTCATGTATTCCTAAAAGAAACCTTATTTGTGTTGAAGGATCAACAATAGAAACTCTAATGATATATGTTAAATATAAATATAAAATTGTCGGCCATGTTTAAAATTCATTCAAAATACAAATACAAAATACCTAAAACAGTTTGTAAAATCTCAAATCAATAAAACATAAAATACTTAAAAACATGTCAAAATTTTGTAAGATTTGCTACTCGTCAGAAGGTTAAAAAATTCATAGATTAAAGGATAAGCAACTGATTTCTAGTGCCAGGTTCTACACTTTGCCTCAGTCATAATGGATACCGATTTTTATCACTTTTAAACACCCCTCATGAATCGCTCCATCCGCAGACTTGTGGTCTTGACCAAGGCCTCTGCCGGAGTGGAGCAACCATTGATCACACCATCGACACAAGCTCGGACGGTGACCCGGTAGGTAGTCTCCGGCTCCAGCTGGGCCAGAGTGTAAAAGTGCTGGTTACCGGGCAGATCGATGCCTTCCGGCACCTCCTCGAGGACACACTTCTCCTCCACTTGCTCTCCCACGGAGGCATGGGAACTCTGGCACTTTGGCATGGCATGACGGATGTTATAGGATTCAATGTCTGTATCCTGAAGATCCATCTGTTTCTTCTCGATTTTCTTACGAATCCGATCGTAGTTCATGGCATGAAGCTTTTCATATAATAATTCCGCTTCGGTGGGAGCCGCAGTGGTAGTCGGTGGAGTTGAAGGTCCTATGTCCTTTTCAATGGACAATAGATCGGCATAATCTTTAACTGTATCGAACTCTTTTTGTGGTGTTTTTTGATTGCGCCTAAAAGTGATAGAGATTAGTAATTTATTTATATATATTTTGCGAGGAAACTTACGAAACGTAAATAAGGTTGGGCAGTGCCTCTTCGTAGGTCAGAGCATCCTTGTTGTAGTACTCCTCGTCATCTGGTTGAGGGCCCGAATTGTAGGGCACCACATCCATGCACTCACACTCCGCACCTTTTGAGACCAAGGGCATTGAACTCAAATAGTTGTGAGTCTTTTCCCCCTTGGTGGTGTTGTGCTTCTCAAAGGTCACCCAATATTTTTTGATTGCTCCGTTCGGGCGACGTGGTGGCCACCAGTGAAGTACCTTTCAAGGGAGTGTTAGATTTATTAAGATTGTTGATTTATCATAAAAGGGGAACTTACTATCTGGGAGCTGATTTCCGAGTTGCCATGAATCCGAAACACGGGACTGGGTCTATCTGGCAGGGTTTGGAAATAAGCTATTGTCGAGTATGCATCCACCTTCAGATGGTAATCGGTTCGCGTTAGGGTCTTTACGAAATATGCGTATTGGGTATATGGTTTTAATCCCCCTATAACATGGCGCCGGCTCCTAGAGGGCACAACCTGCATCAGCCAGCTGCAATAATAATAGTATAAATTCAAATTAGCTCTGAAGCTGGTTATAAGTATTCTCACTCACTTGTCATGACCACAACCGTGTCGACCATCATACATGGTCACATTCTGCAGAGGGGCCTCCTTGTAGTAGTAGGAGTAACCTATGAGGGTCTGCAAGGCATCCCCGTCAATGTAGTCCAGGATAATGCGCACCGCAGTGGAATTCAAATCGTCCACCTTTGGATTTAGGGTCCGCACTGCGTTCACACAAATCATCCGCTCCCCGTTTGAGTTTGGAGACACATCAGCCACCGATATATTCTCGGCGCTCTTCATTGAGCTCTGCAACTGTTGGATTTTCTCATAGCAGAGCCGTGGATTCAGGTGGAAGTAGAGCTTACCACGCTGAATGATCACCTGGTGATTGGGCGGCCAAATGTGCTCCAGGTGATAGTTATTCAGAACGAACAGAGCGTATCTAAAGGGGAATTATAAGTATATTTAATAAGTAAGTCGTATTTTTTAGAGAATTACCTAGCAGTTAGTAATGAATTATTATTTAATTTCAAGCTTACTTATTTTCCACTAATGTATCTCCTCGAATTAAATCCAAATTCTGCAGAAAGCTAAGCGTCAACAGTTGAGCAGAATTCATTACCTTCAGGTAGCCAGTGATCTGTTTAACAGCGACCAATGTATTTTCCAAGGCTTCGACAATTTTCTCTGTAATATAAACAAAAAATGTGATACATTTATATATAAAAAGGACAACAAATAATTATAAAAGAATACCAAAACATTAATTTGTACTCTTTTTAAAGTCTTCCTTAAAAACTCACCCTTAATATAAGTCAATTCTATAATCAAGGATCCATTAATTGTCACACAGTCCTGCAGGAGTTCCAAGTCCGCTGCAGTCTTTACATGAAAATCGCCCTTACACTTCACTTGGCAATGGACCAAACCCTTGGCATCCACGACTTTCTTCTGGTTACCGGGACATTTTTCTACACATAAAGAACCACGGACCTGAGGAATTCTACCCAGATCACGGCATTCCCTATTGCTGATGCACTTCCTCCTGTTTAATTCGTAGCTGGCCAGGCATTGATTCACGCAACCCCATTTTCCCTGAAAATTGGCACACAGGGAGCAGTTTTGGGAGGAGCATCCGGTGACACAGTTGTGATCGCAGCATTTTCCGGCAAAGTCACATCCCAGGCCAGCACAGGCCTCGGGGCAATCCTTCACGCGCTGCGGACCCGGACGTAGTTGGGTGGAGTTCAAGTTCCAGCAATGTTGCAGGGATTGGTTTTGACGGAAATCATAGTCAGCGGCTAAGCCACCACACAAAGGACACTGACTTGGCGGCTTGTTGTACTGTTAATTAGTTAGGATTATTCATTTTCATTCTTCTAAAGAAAACAATCCTTAATTTACCTTTAAGTTGTAGTGCTGCTGTGTCCCATTGCCCATCAGGTACATCCAGTCAATGGTCTCCACAAAGCAAAGCATTGGATTGGATTCGATGCGAATGAGTCCCCTTTGGATACGCAACAGTTCCACTAGACCCAGCTCCCTGAGGTTCCTATTCTCATAGACCACCAAGGCGTACTGATCGAAGAGCAGGCCCTGACCCCGAATGATCCTGAGGCGGGGAAAGATCTCCTTCAGGCTGTTCAACCCACTGCACCGATGCACCATCAAGTAGTCACTGATCTCAGTAATGTTGCTCGACATTATCTTCTGGCTAAAGTTTCCCGATGGCACTTCCAAGTAGGCGATCCGCACATGACCCACCACGTGGGTACAATTCAGAAGTTTTCGGAAGTCTGCAATCTCATTGATCTCAATCGATCCGCAGGCGATTTCAGATCCAGCCAGAACCGGCCCCAGAGCACCAAGAAACAAGAGCCCAAGCAGGGGCACACCAAGCTGCCCCATGCTGCCACCTGACACTTCCAATTGAGAGCACTTGACCCGGGGCGTTCGTTAAGGGGGAGTTCGTCGATCAATTAGCGCCCGCCTGAATGTCAATGTCGTATTGTTGTTATTTTCTTTGCCGGATCGCAATGCTACAAAATTGAATGTTTTTCCGGCCTCTTGGCTGTGTTGTTTTCCCGGCAACGATTCGATCTCAACTGATGCCATTCGAACGGCGTTCTCGAGACGTTCGATCTCTTCAATTGGCCTCTTCTTTGGGTTTTGCTTTTGTTTTGTTTCGCACTGTTATGTATATAGCCTTTGCCCGCTCTCATCGTTGTCTTCTAAACCCTTTTGCTACACCAGTGGAAAAAATACTTACTTAAGGTTAAGAGGTTAAACAATAGGGAGTTAAAATTTCATTTAAAGAAAAATTAGTTAGTTGTTTAAAAAGAATTTTAAGCAGACAAAAGTGTATTGTACTGTATTTTCTTTGTCTATATTTTAATATGTAATAACTTATTGTTAATTCAATAAATAAATACTCATAACACATAAGTATTAACTAGAAATTATGTTGGGTTGAAATACCTATAATATTAGAATATTTCTATATTTGTTTTTATAGTTTTTTTGCAACTGGTGTATAAATAAGAGCAAAGGCGGTGCCTCTTCTGTTGAGAGATTCCCGATTATTTTAATGGGGAGAGCTTCTCATTGTTTACGTTAATAAAAGTAAACATTTATGGGCATCCTAAAATATTATACATGCCGCTCTTGCAGTTGTTTTTTAATTGTTTCTTCTCCCCAAAATCGAAGTCAGCCCATTTGTGTAGCCCGGTCTCAAAATTATTAAGTGGCGTCGGCAAAGGGGAATTTAGGGGGGTATTTGCTTGTGTAAAATATATTAATATATCAATATTTTATTTATTATATAGTTTTATTTGCATGTAAATTATATATTGAAGCCACTAAGGAGGCATGATGGATGTTATTATCCTCTGTCTTAATTTTATAGAAAAACAAATGCTTTCTTAAAAGATTACAACTTATTTTTTTTGTTTTAATCTTGAATTATTGATGGTAATATCTGCTTAATAAATTATTTATAGTATAAATGTATCTATGGTATAATATATGATTTTTTTTTAAATATGTATATATGCTATATAGATTTTCATATTTTTAATATTTTTCACATTCCCTTAATATATGTAAATCAAAAATGAAGATTGTAGCATAAATTATTTTAAAATCATTGCTAAAACTGACACTTGATTGACCATGTTTATCTGGTTTATTAATTTTTAATCTTTATAAATTCTAAATATTTTTCCAAAAACCCCCTTTCTGAATAAATAATTAATATCGTGCGTCACTGTTCGTTCCCATCCCCGTGGACCGATCATTTCACGCATCTGTTACCTTTCACGTTTGTTTCTCTCCGTTGCTTCCTTTTTGCCGGCAGCCCAAAAACACTTGTTACTTCTGCATCTGCAGAGGGGGCAACGCAGACTAACCCCCCGCCACCTCCCCGGCATGACCTTGCGATTTGCGGACCGGTTCCGACTTCCCTACCGTTGTTTTTACCCTTTTCCCCCCACAGTTTGTTTTTTGTTTTGCTTTTGTTTTTGTTGCTGTCTTCCTCGATAAAGAAAATGCGATGCTGAGCAGAAATTAAATTGCACCGGCGAACAATTCAATTAGAGGGAAAGCAAAAAAAAGACCAGGGAACGCGCTCAAAACAAGTACAACAACAGCAAAAGCCACAAAGAAGCAAAGCTAAAACCCAATTGGAGCTAACAGAGAACAGTGAACGGTGAACAGGGCGCAATTGGCAGTTCATTAAAGTGCAAGTAACGCATACGAAGCTCAATTGGAACCGGGGGTACAAATTTTAAATTAAGCTAGCTGCCAATTGAATAAGGACACCCAATACCACCTATGCAACCGAAAAGTAGTACAAAAATATATATTACATAAAATGTCACAATAAATAATTAACCCAATTTATTGTCAATTTATCAGAACAAAGTGTTCTGCTATCGGAATTATATCACAAACTCAGACATAATAATGAATGATAAATTGAAATGTTAGATTTATCTTTTTCGCTTTATAACAATTTTAATGAGGGAAATAAATCAAGGCACAATTATTATAAATATTATGTATGGTGCTTTATTTTTCTAAATACGGTTTATTTTATTTTATGTAACAGTTGGTTATTTATAACTTGATAATTAATGAAGTCTATACATTCAGCCAGTTATATTATTCGCCTATCAATTAATATTATATCGTCGTATTAATATACTTTTTGGCTTTCAGCATATAAAGTTAAAAATTTTAAGAATACAAGAATTTATATAAGATGCACTTGTTTTTTAATAACTTAAAAGACTATCGAAATGTATTGTTTATTATACCCATGCAGGGTATTATAAGTTCAGTAAAAAGCGTTTAATTTAGTGAAGGAGTCATTACCGATCCTATAAATAAGCTTTCCAAATGAAAATTAATTTTTTTTTCATGAGTTTTTTAATTTTGATATGTAAAAATAATTGCCATATAATAATATCGTTAAATATCGGTTTAAGGAATGCGAATAGTTTAAGCTGAGTTATGATAGATTTCCAATTAGATCATAAATTTAACATGTAAACTGCAAGTGTATATAAACTACACCTTTTCGAGTTATATGTATATGTACTTCATAATTTTTAACGAGCATAAAATGCATAAATTTACCCAAAAACACCTACTACCAACCAAAAAAGAAGCACCGCACAGAACGTGCAAAAAAGCCGCATAGACATAACTATCAATGATTTTTTTTTGTGGGTACTTTTTCCTCCCTTTTTTTTCCACGGCTGTGAATCAATTTTCGCAGTAATTTGCCGAGCCTGCACTGATGTGTAGCGTAAAGAATTTAATACTGCATACTTTCCGGCGGCACGTCAAACTATGAACCAACGCACACTCCAACGCACTCCAGCAAACACCAACACCCACACAAGAGAGCAACCCACACACAGCCAGAGGCGCCAATTATTGAATATGCCAGAGGGGGCAGCATCAGAAGAGCAGCAGAGTTGTAGTTGGAGGGAGCCAACAGATTTGGAAAATTGTCTAAAAGCGGTGGCCATTTGGCTAGTTTATTTAGTATTTTAATGGAAATATTTCTTTTAAATAGATTAAAAAGTATATTTAGTGAGGGAATACGTATTAGATTAGGTTAACTCTGCAAGGGATTGTTTATGATCAAAAATACTTCATTAACAACTCGTTTAAATATCCTTATTTTTAATTAAATATTCAACAACAAATATTTAGCTAAGAATTTTATAAAATATATATATTTAATAAAGAAAAATGATGATATTTTTAATTTAATAATTACTTTGCATCCATAAGCCCCTAATTTTTTTGCTATAGTTGCCATCACTGATGCCGCGCAATTCGCGCGGGAGTTGGTAGATGGCATTGAAGCGCAGGACACCAGTCACCGGAGTATCGGAGGCGGCAAACACGTAAAGCCATTTTGCGGCGCGTGATAGGAATCCCTAGCAAGGACGTGTGCATATGCCTACCAAAGCGCGAGAGAAAACCGGGATGGATCCAAGGGAAAAGGGCCAGGAAGAACTTGGACATACGTAAGTCAACCAATGACTCGACGGCCCACGCACGTCGCTGCATTTAAGTGCCAAATTAGGAGGAGGCCTTGTCCAGCGGATCGGGAGCTGGGCCTGCACATGGCTGTTGGCCATAAATCAAACGGTCGATGCAATTTATGACCGTGCCAATTCAATGAGCCACTGCTGCTGCCGTGCTGTCTCATCATAACCCATTATTATTATTGCTATTATTGCTGGCACCACCGGCAACCGGCACGAGCAACAGAATTAATTAAGTTTGCTGAAAAATGCAATCCAGCAAATAGACAATGGCAGCATCTGTTCCGTCATCTCCTCCTTTGGGCCATCTTTGGAACCATCAGTTCTTCAAGACACTTCGAGTCCAGTTGGCTGCACCGGGATGTGATGGATGTGGCACCTTGCAGCAGCTGACAGCCATCTCCTTTCGAATGCCTGATGCAATTGGACACATGACAAAGCGTGTGCACCAAGGCAACTCTAACTTGGCCAACATCTGGTCAAAAGATTCTGCCTCTAAACGGATTTTCTGCAAAGAATTTTTGGCAAACAATAAAAAGTAACTAAAGATTTTAAAGCTTTATCCTATTCATATTCATTACTTAAATATCTAAGTGGACATGTTATTGTTTTCTATTCTCAATTTCTCCTTCAAAATCAAACTGTTTTTAATCAATCAAATAACAAACACTACTCAACTTAATCCTTTTAAGTGGAAATGAATTTGTATTTGATGTGACTAAAAAAATTGAAATACCACCAATGGCTCTCGGCCAAAACTGCGCCAAGAATCAATGCCTCTCGAATTGAAAAGTTTTCAAATATATATAAAAGCCAAAACATTTGAAGTGCCGTGTAAAGTGCACTGTTCAATTATTTTTCTCACCAATTTTTGTATTTATGTATTCTTGAAAAAGGGTGTGTGGGTGTGTGTATGTGTGTGGGTGGCACAACAATTTGCATATGTGGGCCACATACAGGTGGAAACGCTTTTTTCTATTAGCCACGCATAAAGCTTAATTTATTGGCGCCTGCAGCCTGGAATTTTCACTCCCGTTTTAACCAGGAAGTTGCAATCATTTTTTATACCTGAACCTTCGCCCCACAAAAATTTGGTTATCAAAGAAAATTAATAATAAAAATAAGGAAAGAGTGAGGTGAGGTGAGTCTCTGGCATTTTCACTTTGCCGTGCGATTGCGGAATTTCGTATTAAATAATGAGTGCAAAATATTTCAAAAATCTTAACCAGCCAGAAAATGTGCATACAGTAGAGCACACTTTCTGGTTGTACACTTTCCTTTAATTATAAATTAATAATTTACTTGTAAACATGTGTACTATCTCCATTGAAGTGAAAACTATTTGGATTTTAACTCAAATAGATTAGAGCTAGAACTTAATTATTGTGGAAATTAAACACATATTTGTACTTAAGATAAGCCTTTAGCTTTGATTTAAACTAAAATTCATGAACTATCAGTTACATTTCATAATCAACGATTTTCTCCATATGATTGCCGTCTCTCATTACCAATTTTACGGCCGGA